CAGCCGCAGGCAACCCGGGCCGGGTAATATATGCAAGCATCCCTGAATCTGAGGGCAGCCTCATTGTTTTTAGATGCATCATTCTACGATCGGCCTTATCAAGTTATGCTTCTGATTTTTTTTTATTATTAATGCATTTATTTTTTATAAAACGACTGTACAAAAAAAAATCTGATGCACCTTAAATGAAACAGGCCTCGGAGAAATATACATTTTCATCAGTGGTAAATGCTCTTTAGCAGTATGATCCAAAGCCAAAGAGGCAATTCAAGGTGGGGGGGGGGGGAAAAAAAAACACCCTTGCCATTGGTGCCTGATAAGGAATATTGTGAACCAGTGTGTGGGCGTCAAAGCTACATTAAATGTGACTTGACTCCATACTATAAATAAATACGATACTTGAATGAAAAGCCAAGTTTGAGAAAGTAATATAAAAAATTTCTTGACCGGTGGTATAGAAGAGTTTTCATGCTTTGTGATGTCTGTTGCTCAACTTTCGCTCAATTGTTGCAGTTTTACTTAAAGCAGATAAATTATTCTTCTTGTTACCTTGCTACAGCATGCCATAAAAGTACAATTAAGCAGCTTTTTTATTTATTAGTTTTTTTAATATTACTAAATAATCAAATGAAAATGGATTGGAGCAAGCCTGTACATTTTTAATACAAGCCTAGGTAATGTTTAAAGTTATAAATACTAAACATAGCACAATGCTGACTCAGAAGTGGAAAAATGTTATAAAATCACACATGCAACATCATTTTAATGCGCAGAAAGTTTACAAGTAAAAATGTAGAGATCAAGGACCAAGTGACATGCAAAATAACATGATAAAAATTACTAACATCCAACCAATTTTTTCACTCCCATCTGTTCTACTAATAAAAGTTCAGTTTATTGAAAAAAAAAAAGCTTGGCACCCTTTCCAAAAAGATTACAAACTACATTTAAACTGTTCTAAAAACAAATATATTAAAATACTGTATGTTGCGCAGTGTCAAAATATTCAGGCGGCAGTCACTGAACATTAGCAGACACAGAAGGAAATCTCTGAGTTGTCACACTGTGCTTTGTATTATTCACAATTTTTAAACCAAAAAAAAACTAAAAATATGTAATTTACTTAAAGCCATTTCGATTGAAGACAAATCATAAACCACTTAAGCTTAGCATGCCTACCACCACTGCCCAAAGAGAAATAAACAAGCATTTACTCAAATAATATCTTGGATTATATAAAAAAATAAAAATAAATATATATATATATATATATATATATTTTTTTTTTTTTTCATTTATATGCATCAGAAATCTTTTAGTGTGGGTCATCAAGACCTCTTTATTTTAATGCCGAGGGCAACAATTTCTACAACACAAAAAATGATGGCGACTGCTTGCGTTCTGTTCCCACATTCTATGGCTAAATGCCTCCAGGTGCACAGAACCAAAGCCATTCAGTTGTACCAGCACGGAAATAGACACATTTTAAAAGATTACAATACAAATGACATGATTTTTTTTTCCAAAGAAGAGAAAATGTGTGTGTTTATACATAGATGACAAAAAATAAACTTATTTCACTTATTTTAAAGTGACTTGGTTCATAATTAAATTTCAAAAGCAGAGGGGGTACTCCTCTAGCCCTATGGACAAGGCGAATCTGATATAGACAGGGGTGCCACTAGAGATTTTGGGCCCCAGGAAAGCACATCACACTGGGCCCCCAATCGAGACCAATCCAAATATGCTCTAAATTTTTTTGTAGGGCCCATGTCACTCAGGGGCCCATTGGAATCACCTAGCCCCTCCCCCCCCCCACCCACGGTGCCCCTGGATATATATGTATATGTGTATATATATTCCAGTCATGCTTGCCTCCTGATTTCTCCTCCCACTGTTTTGTCTCCTCTCCTGCTCCCCGGAGACGTCATTGATTGATAGCCTAATCCAATGACTGTATTACAGGAGCCTCGTCTTGGACGGTGTCCTTATCATTAGCAGTTAGCCTATGGTTAAATTCACAGCTCGCTGCTCGGTGCAGCCCCTGAGATTTAAGGGTTTGGCCTTTGGAAAATATTTAACATAAAATTGAAATCTTGACAGCACTGAGAAGTCAGCTCTCAGCGATGCATTTTTAATTAATCAGACTTACTGTACCGTGCTCATCTAACATGGCACAGATTACTGAGACGTGCAGTAATAAATTAAACAGCCACGAGCTTGCATCTAAAACTGAGGAAATTTATCTTTGTGCCGTAGTGTTTTATTATGGGTGGAAGCAGACACGGGGGGTAGGGTATCTGTTTAGTGGATAAAAATGCAAATCTGAAAATCACTCAGCACTCAGGTTGCTCTCAGAATAATCCAGATTTCTTATGACTCACAAATGTATGGTAATGTCAGTGAAGGAGGGCTATCTCTTGTCTTAGAACATTGTAGCACCTGAGCTCTTTTTCACTCCCTTTCTTAAAGAGCTGAATTATCTCCTGATCCTGCAGTTTACACAGGAATTGTAAGGGTGGGGGGGGGGGGCTTTACAAATCACCGACAGGGAAATTCCGCTAAACAGAGCGCGACAGCGGCCGCCGTCACAAACCTACACCACTCACAAAGCCATCTGGGCCGCGAACCCTGCGTGAAACATGGCAACACCGATCGCCTCTGTTGTTATGCAAATGCTCTGGAAAAGCCTATTGGAGAAGCACAATAAGGGGTGCTTAAGGGAAGCGTCACAGAAACAGACCTCCGTCAATGTACTGCAATAACATTTTAGTATACTTTAGTATTCTTGGTCGCTAAGGAAAAAAAAATTAAACTGAAGTGTCAATGCACTTTATCCAGAGGGAGAAAAGAAAGCAAAAAATATACTTAGAAATGAAGATCAGGAGGCAGGATGGACAGGTTGACGTTCTCCCATAATATATAACCGCTATATTCTCAAATTTAGCTTGAAAATAAATAGGAAATACCTATTAAGTCTGCAAAAGGAACCAGGACATCCACAAGGACTGTAGGCCTGTAGTTGTATTCAGCATAACATTACTTATTAATATCAGTACCATTATCTTCAAGTACCAGGATAAATCTTCACAAGACAATTCACTATATGATACTTCTGGGTTTTGCAGAAGTGGACCTGATGTCTTTCATGTGGACATTGATTATCCATTTACATAATGAGGAAACCTTGGTAGTCGTCCCCCCCGCTCCAAACAGCTGCCCACCTCTACAAAAATTATATCGAATTAACAGCAAAATGCTGAATTGCAAAACACTTTGCACTGCTGCAGTATAATGCTAGCTCATTGCTGCAGTTGCGAAGTTAGTACTGAATACTAACGAGGTACGAATGTTTCTAAGTAAAAAAAATAAAATATCCAGCAGCACAATAACCAAGCCACTAAACACATAACAAAACAATGATCCGGTCAGGTGACAGCAGTTTCACGTTGGACGGTCAGCACATACAGATATGAGCAGGAACCCGGCTGACTCTGTGTCAAACAGGCTCATCCGGCGGCACACTGCTCGTCAGCTGTGACCACGACGGCCACTGTGAGATGCAGCATGGAGGGGGTGGGGGGGAGGCAGGAGAAGCAAGGAGGCTCTGCAGAACGTGGACGGCGGCCGGCACCATTCGCTTCGGTTAAACGCGGCGGGTAATGGGTGTTTAAAAGAAAAGATCGCTGCTGCAAATGTGGTAAACACACAGATAAGTTTTCAGGTCGGCGGTGAGGTGTGTGATTTGCAGGTACCGCGCGTGTGCTCAGCATTTTAATCACGCCACAGAAAGGCTGGCTTGCCTCCCTTTTAACAGTTCGAACACCAAATCATTATGCTACACTCTAGCTTCTCCTTTGTAGTACTGGCACTGTCATTCGTGTCAAATAAATAAATAAATAAATGAACAGGCTAAATGACCCCCACTCTAGAATAAACGTCTGAACATGCGATGAGTCCTGACTAAAGGCAGACGCTGTAACCCCCATACAGAATGCATATCTAATCTATTCCAACATCCAGAGGCTAAGAAAGTGACCACGGCTCTGCAGAACCGAATGATTGATGTCTGGCTCACTCCGAACATCAGGGCCAACACCACAGGTACCCCAGCGATTGCGACTGGAACACAGGCCCGGGGCACGGGCAAAAAAGGGCACGTGGTAGTTTTGCTTACATAAAGTACCACCGCGACAGTTTCTATATTCATTTTTAATGTGACGGGGCTTCCTCCCGCCGTCTAAAGAGCAGCTGGAAGAGAGGTGGAACGAGCTGAACATGGTAAGAACTGCATGCTGAGGCCACTGCATGCTGAGGCCACTGCATGTCAGTACTCCATGCTCATGTGCAAAGAATGCGGAACTTGGTTCGCTGAGTCTGCAATACATAGATGCAGAATATATTGCAATGCCTGTAAACTTTAAACAGACCTTCTGCATAACCTTAAATATAGCAAGTAAGGACAATGTAACTGGGATGATGTAACTGGGAAGTGCTGAAGTGTAAATTGCTACAATGACTTTATGTTAAGTGATACTAGATATAATACCCTGCCCATTGCCCCCAAGTCATAAAAAACAGTCACGAAAATCTTCAGGAAACTGATGACCAAGCCTTGTAAATATCCTGAAACCTTCCAAGCCAGGATGTAACTGTGTGCTTCAAATCTGAAAAATGCTTTATGTACCTGTCAAAAAAATCATTTACATGATGTCACATACTGTAATGTAACTCAAAATCTATATTTATAAGGTGATTATGTGAAATTACACACACTGTAAAAGCCTGGGCCATTGGACCTTCCTGTGAATCCTCTTGTTTTCTCAGTCACCCACCATGGTCTACCGCTGCACAGAAAACAGGAATGAGCACTGCGTCTCTCATCATGCTCCTTCTCTCACCTCCATGGGAGGAGCTGACCAGTGGCGGTGTGCTGAGACCACAGAGATGCCACAAACAACCTTCAGTATGGTCGACTACTGCACGGCCCCTCCACCTACCGGACACGCCTCCGTACGTGGTGCGGCTCCCTCGGCCGACGGAGGGCCAGGGAGTCCCATCAGCCTTCAGCCCCATCAGCCCGGACACAGTGTTGGTCGCTGTGACGCCATCTGCACCACCTGTGTGGAGGTTACAGTGAGTTACAAGGAAAAACCCAAATGAGACTAAACAAAATTAAGCAAAATGAAACAAAACAAAAAGTCTTTTTCATTTTAATGCAGGGTGTTACAAGAAAAAAACAAATGAAACTGAACAAACCAAAACGAAACAAAACAAAAAGTCTTCTTAACTTTAATATGGAGGTTACAAGAAAATGAAACAAATGAAACTAAAAATTAAACAAAACTAAACGAAACAAATAAAATTTAACAAAATGTCTTCACTTAAAAACAGCGGGTTACAAGAAAAAACCCAAATGATACTAAACAAAATGAAACAAAATGAAATTAATTACAACAAAATAAAAATAAAATTTTCTTCACTTTAAAACTGTTAGCCAGCTGCCACCATGTCTTAAAACTAAAAAAGAAGAGCAGGTATTTGTTATGCTAATTGTTAAGGCTACTGGGCAGAGGTTTTTTTCCTCAATCTCCATCCATCCATCAGTTCCATTATCTTCCACTTGATCCGAGGTCGGGCTGCGGGGGCAGCAGTCTCAGCAGGGAAACCCAGACTTCCCTCTCCCCGGCCACTTCATCCAGCTACTCCGGGGGAATACCGAGGGGTTCCCAGGCCAGCCGAGAGATATAGTCCCTCCAGCGTGTCCTGGGTCTTCCCTGGG